AACGGAGACAATACATCGTCGGAGAAAGCAAAATAAATCAGTTTTACCGTCCAGTATCTTCTCAAGCATGTCTTAAACAGTAAATACACAAATAACACGCCAATAATTCGCACAAATTAATAACACTTAAAAAGTCTTAAAGTTGGTTTCGATTGAAAATTCCTCGACCACAAGTTTTCAACCGAACAACAACAGCTCCGAAAATGAACCCGCTGTCCATATTCGCTGACCTTGCGGGAAACAACTCCCGGTTATGTATAAACCCTTAATATGTATAAACAATTTCTAAAGAGTGAAAATAAAACATTTATTTAATGAAGCTTTTCTTCTTTAAGGGGCTGATTACATGGAGCCATTTCAGCCCGGGCTGACTTTCAGCCCGGTTTGCCGGGCTGAAGTTTCAGCCCGGTTTTACTATAAACTCAGTATAAAATACTGTGCGCGATTACATGACAAGAATTTCAGCCCGGGCTGAAAGTCAGCCGGGTCAGCCCGGTTTGAGCTGCCCGGGCTGAAATTTCAGCCCGGGCTGAAAGATAGCCCAGGCAGCATGTAATCGCAAATAAATTTCAGCCCGGGCTGAAGAAAAATATGTTAAAATGGCTTTATTTCGTGTTTTATCTCATCTTTAATGCTTTATATGCAACCACAGCCTCACACAAGTCAAATAGTCGAATAATCGGCATTTTAAATGTTCAAAAAAGCGAAATATTGCCTTACTGGCCATTTCGCGATATCGTATGATTTCAGCCCGGGCTGGAATTTCAGCCCGGGCCATACCTGTAGATTTTATTTTTGTGGAGGTAGCCAAGGAGTAATTCTGACGGGTATCTTATTTAGTTCGGTATCGGGTATCTTATGGGTACCATTGTTAAGGAAGGGACAAACAAACTTGGATGAATCGTAATCACCTGTCAACGCCTGGGCGGTCTTGTGTAATTCGTCATCAGGGGTGAAGGGTACTGATTTGGGTAACTCATTGGGGGCTGTATGGCTGGAGAATAGGGATTTGGATATTGTGACGATATAGGGGTTGGAATTTCCATTAAAGGATTCAATGGGCGGAGATTTCTCAAAGGTTCTCGGTAATAATAATTCTGGTACGGCGGAAATGGGTTGGTGAATCGGTGTGATAAAAAATCAGGAGAAGCATAATCGCCTGGATAGGGCATGGGGGATGAGTTACGTATCAATTTGTCGTGGGAAAAATCACACATCTCTTTCTTCAGACAGTACCCTCTTTTATGCAGAAAAGGACATGGTATATTGCACTTCCGTGTTTCAGATGGTTTTGGGTGTTTAAAGTCGCATCGGTCGCCTTTAAAACATCTACCACGGCGTATGAGAAAAGGGCACGGGACAGAGGATTTTAGAGACGGATTGTATTTGGTTTTTTTCCCTTTCGCTGTTAATTGACTGCTGCGATACCGATTTCAAGTTCGAATTTAAGCCTTTATGTTTATTATTTTTATTCTGCTGTTGTGGGAAAAGCACGGCATCATCATTTGTAAGGTCAATGTGATTATTCTTCAAATCGTCGGCATTGCATTGGCTGTTGTCATTATGCCGAATAAGGCTATTGTCATGAGAGGTTTTTAGAGATGGATCGTATCTAATGCGGCTATTGTCATGAGAGGTTTTTGGGGACAGATCATATCTAAGTTTATTCCCTTCTATGTTGGTTGACTGCTGCGATTCGGATTGCAAGTTCGAATTTATGCCTTTGTGTGTATTATTTTCATTCTGCTGTTTTGAGGAAAACACAGCATCATCATTTGCAAGGTCAATTTGATTATTATTCAAATCATCGGCATTGCATTGTCCGTTGTTATTATGCCGAGCAAGACTATTGTCATGAGAGGTATTAAATAATTCAGTGTTAATATATACGAAATGCGACTAACATCATAACTTTATATATATATATATATATATATATATATATATATATATATATATATATATATATATATATATATATATATATATATATATATATATATATACATATATATATAGTACAATCTGCAGACATGCATGTTTCGGCGTTCAACGCCTCGTCAGTGCAGCTTGGTACACGTCTAGATACGTGAAACACTCGTATTTATACCCCATGAACTTGCTTTCACCAAGGCATGTAGTACAACACGGTGACTCAACGCATCCAGACATGCGCAGAGCGTAATGGGGCCAGAGTGCTCAAACGACCACAAGGGAAGTGAGCTTTGCATTATCGCTAATAAACACCCATTAACAACTCCGCAGAGTGCTCAACAACACCGAAGTGAAGGAGCGTAATATATATATATATATATATATATATATATATATATATATATATATATATATATATATATATATATATATATATAAAATAGTTTGTGTTGGGTTATAAAAACCATGAATAATAGAGTGCTCAATGGATAACCAGAGCATAATAGAAAGACACAAAAACTTAGCAAGCTTTGTTTGGCATATTTATTACTATACACTCAGTTTCGTACCACGTAAATAACGTGGCACTCTTCAGATAAATAGCCTATATGTTTGACCTCTAGCTTCTAACGAACTTTTTAAATATGTACATATGGTGTATAAAGGACGCTTATCTAATTACAAATCAATTAACACCTCAAGTAGTGTCACGAAAATATTAGTATCAAGTTATAAAGATTTTAAGTAGAAATTTATTAGCGTGTCTATACACGTGGAGACAAGTTCGTTGCGACGATTAAGTGTTGCGATGTGCGGTTTACAAATAATAAAATACTTCTCCCAGATATACATGTATATATATACACATGCTCATAATTATTGCCTGGCATGGACAGTTCATTTTATGTTCGTATTTACCTCAGTAAAAAGGCATTCTGCAAAAGTAACTAAGTGTGTATGTCCACAAAGAATTCTTAATATATTAGAGAATCTAGGGATAAAATTTGTTCCTATTTTGACATAATGTCTTCGCTGAGCCTTCTTCGATGGTCACATCTTCAACGTATCAACTTTCAAGTCTTCAAGAATTAGATTGTTTCCATGTGAGGTAGTACATGTTTCTGATTGCCCTGGGTTAACATTAAACACAATTAGGACTACAACTACAGTAAATCCTTTACTATTCCCCTGCCTGAAATGAGTCATTTGGCTGTAGTAACCCATTCCTTTTATACTGTATGTCATCTCCAATAAATCCCCCATAAGTTTCTCTAATAAGCTCCCACTCTCTAATACTGTTATGTGGGCCCCTTCTAATATAGGACAAGCCCTCGAATATAGGACAAGCCTTCTAATATAAGACAAACCTTCTGCTCTCTATAATAAGCCTTCCCCTTTCTGGGAAGGCCCCCAATCTAATCAAGCCTCGAACTGGTGCCAAACTTAAACAACATAGAAAACAGCTTATTATGCAGTTTAGTATGGGTTTATGAATCTGAGATACCCGATGTGGATGTGGGTTTTCCTATTTTTGATGTCAAATACTTGTGCACACCATCCCAGAACTTCTTAAATTCTTCTTGGTAGTGACCGTGAAGGATATATGTGACCATGGGGGATACCAAAAAAGGTACCAATGTCACACCAAACAACACAGCAATCCCTGTTTCTTCTGGATGTTTGTCTGAGGAAATATTTGAAACAAACATTGCAATCTAAACAAACAAAACGTCGCTCCATTAAATCCTAATCAGAGTCCTTCAAGGCACAGAGCCGCCACGTGCATTTTAATTGATTTACCTATGCACGCCTAGACATGTTTTACCTAGACATGTTTTAAGGTTACAGGAGTGAGGACACCCTTTTTGGCATTTGCGGAAAATTGCTACTGTGCGCTCGATATCAGCCAGATTTTTCAGTAACAAATTTTCACCAAATGTTTGCCAGTGCATGCAAAATATGAAGCTGTAAAATTGGCAAACAATAAAATAATGTAAGAATTATTCAGGAAAATCTTAAATCGCGGTACCTTTACGCTTAAAGTAAAATAGTTGTTCTAAAAAATTGTGTTTGGAAATTTTTGTTTATTTTGTCATTCCGCTGATATGGCAATTTCTTTGACAACTGCACTATAATTCTGAATCATTTGAGTGAATTGCTCCTTATTATTAAAATATCCAAAATTAGAAAAAAGCCTATAACACTGTTTTGAAACTGACTGTCTTTAGCTATGTCTTGAGAAAAAATTGTTAAAACCCGCAGGAGAACAACTCATTTGAAAATCAGTAATTGCCGTAAAATTCTTAGGGAGAAAATTGAATTTGAATATTACATTTTCATATTTTTTTTTATTGCAGCGAAATGTATTTTTTTATTAAATAACTCAATCTTGGTCAGATAGTAGAACTTAGTCTAATGCTTTCATGGAAACCAATAAAACAATTTAGGCAAAATTAACACTAAAAGGTGTTCTGTAACCTTAAGGCGAGTGTTAGGTGCATGAGCTAGGGCAAGGCCTGCATCTATACATTTTACCCAATCAATATGTGGGTTTCAGGAAGTATTATCATGCAGCATCTAGTTGTGAACTGGCAGTTATCAGAGTAAGAAAATGTTAAAATTAATTTTGTTGGACATAATATTGACAATATTCTTGTATTCAGTGACACACACACTTTTCCATAAAGCCGGTTTTCCACTAGGCGGAATTTTGCGTGTGGAGCGGAATCTTTCTTTGTCTTTTCTAATTAGTTCCACCCGAGAAATCACAAGACAAAGAAAAATTCCGCTCCGCACGCAAAATTCCGCCTAGTGGAAAACCGGCTTAAGTGTCAACAATTCTGAAGTTTGCCACCATCTGCTGTCATGTATTTAAACATTATAAAATTGAAAGCCTACTTTATGTTGAATTGACACTTACCATATATGGGCACCAACAAGTTACAAACGAACTTGAAACAACCAACTGAAAAACCATTGTCTCTTTACGTCGAGTCACAGACATCCTCATCTGCCTGCGTTTTGCGTAAACTTTCCGCATTAACCACATATATATGATGATAAACGCAGCAGTTATCAAAAATAGAATAAGGTTAAAAAACACAGTCACTCGAGTTGCCGCCTCTTTGTGCCACTGTATTAAACAAATTGCATATTTTGATTGGTAGTAACTACCAAGTCTCGTCAAAGGTATGATTGCCATAAATATGCCGTATAATGTACAGCACACAAAAATAATTATAGGAACATTGCTTTCACCTCCGACGTAACTACGATACTCAAATGGCTTCAATAAAAGATATATTTTCTCCAGCAGCCCAACAAGAATTGCAACTACAGCAAAATTAAAACCAAATGTATGCAGGAAACCAAAGAAGTCACATAATCCATCGGAGAGTTCATTATTTCTTGCCAAAAGCGTCGCCATATTTACAAGCAAACTCAACCCGACCAAAGAGAAAGCGAGATTCGTACAAATAAGATTCCATAGTCCATGAATTTTTCGACCAGGTTCTATCGACTTTTCACGACTAACTTTTGATAGCCACATTATAAAGCTGGTAAAAATATTTCCAATACAAATAATGAGGCCAAGAAGAAGCCATATTACGCTCAAATATTTTGGCACGTCTTCTTCCATGATCAAAGTTAATATTAAATCAAGTGTAAAATATATAAAAATTCTTTGTTTCTTCAACGAAAACATGCATCCTTGCATATTTGAATTGGAATATTTAATTATAATACTGTGTGATATAAGAACGTTAATGATTGGCTGAAGTGCACGGCAAAAAAGCGCGGAATTATAAAAATATTTTCGTTGTTTAATCATGGATTGTAAAATAACTTATTTTATTATCCATGGTTTAATATATAAAAGTATAATTTGGTGAATAAAAAGACCTAAATTCTAAAAACACTCAGCTGTTTACGTTTCACTATATTATGTGGCAGTCTTCAGTCAGGTTTATAAAAGCCTATAAACTAGCGAAACTCTAGTATACAAATAATGAATGTTTTTATTCGTGCAATGGTAAGAATATTTTCATTCGGTGAATTAAAGATGGAATGTTCCATTCAACGAGGCGACAGCCGAGTTGAATGGAACATTCCATCTTTCACCGAATGAAAATATTCTTACCATTGCACGAATAAAAACATTCATTATTTGTTTTATATAATACCAAAATAGACAAATATTAAAAGGTTTACTGTAAGCTCCCGTCATTTTGACGAGTCGTATTTGCATTAAATCCCATTTACTGAGTTTCGAATATCGGGTTAAAATAAACTGCGATCACCGTACGAGAAGCATTTTGACGGATGCGATTTATCTAAAACACAAAGAGTGCAATGGAATAAAACGTATAGTACAATTGCACTCGCAAGAGTGCAATGGAACGTATTCCATTGCACTCTTGGGAAATGGAATTTTCTATTTAATATCACGTGACCATAAACAGCCAATTAAACGATCAGAATCCAATAAGGTATTATATAATATCTACTGACTCTACTAGCCGGAAGTCAAATAGATTTTTTGCCATGTTCAGAGTAGTAGTTAGCCTAAAAAGGCACAACCATTAGCCAGCAGAGCTTTGGCCGTATTTCCGGGGGGTCTGGTCCGCCCTCAAGCCCCCCCCCCCCCCGGAAATACGGCCAAAGCTCTGCTGGCTACACAACCATAGGCGTACGAGACAGGTGAAATTTTGGAAAACCATGAAAATTCGGGCAAATGCTAGAAAAAATCAAAAAAGTTCGGGGAGATTCATCAGAGGATAGGTTAAATTCAGGTAATTTCATCAATCGATCAAATTAATCCACGCGGCCCACGCAAAGGCCACGCAAGCCATAGAACTGACGACAAATAAGCGCCTGTGTACGAGGCAGTAATTTCATTACAATCCTCCGTAAAAGTTCGGGCTGAATCTTTCACTGCTCCCACCCCCGCAAAGCATCAGCCCCTCCAAAATGGCAAAACTCGTGAACTGGAACCCGGCCACATTAAAATGTACTTCAGATTGCAAAATGTTTAATACTAGTGCATAACAAATGAGCAATTCCGAGTAAGAAAAAATATATACAAAAGCCTTCATCAAATTTGAGTATTTTAATTTATCTTTTTGTGCATAGTTGAAACTCCGTTAACTGGCAAGCTTAGGAACGTTTTGATATTTTGCTTGCGTTAGGAGAAAATTAAATCTCATCATGATCAGGAAGAAAACTTGTTTTTGATGAAATGGTATGAAAAATGTTTTCATGATTTGGCGTGCTCAATCGAAATTGGGAGAGCACACTTAATTAAGCCAATTTTTCGGCTACGGTGAATTTATCCCAGCGAAAATTTGTTTTTCGCTTTGCGCAAACAAATTCGCCTAGTAGAAAATAGGCTTTGCGTAGTTACGCTTTTTCGTGCTCTCTCAATTTCTCAGTTCCCGTGTGCCCAATGTATTCGGTTGAAAATAACAAAAAATTCTTAACTAGGGACATAATTTGTCAGGGGGGCTGGGGAGGTGTAATTCAAAATTTTAAGGAATGATATTTTGTGACCCTGCTTTGCCATAACCCGGAAAAAGTAATGCCCCCCCCCCCCCTCTCTCTCTTACTTGTGTCAGTAAATGTACCTACCTATTGACTACTAAACCCTGCATTCAATAAATTTTCTAATTACACTTTAAATTTTCTAATTTTCTAGTTGCGCTTTAAATCAAATACTAAAATTTATATTATATACCATTACATAGTCATATATAAAACTTTAATTTTTTCAAACTTTTCATTCTAAGTTTAAAGAATCAATTTTCTTCAATGCAACTCAAACAAAATATGAGAAGGCATGTATAAAACAATTAATTGAACTAAAACAGCAGACCCCCTCCCCGTCTTCATAAACTGTCTAATATTTTTCAATCAATTGGCAAATTTTGAAACGCGCTATTTCGTATACGGGAGGATCAAAACGATGTAATTTATGTTTAGAGGAAAAATTTTGTATTTTGAAAGAAAACCAAAACCGTTTACTCAATAAAAGAATGGAAATTATATCTACGTGCAGACATAGGAAGAAATTTCGCGTAAACAACGCAAACAATACACTCCCACAATTCGATTAGGCATTTCCGCGTAAACAACGTAAACTAAACATTAGATGAATGCATGCTTTGTTTCACCCACACACCTCCACGTTCCGGCCAAAACACATATAAGCAGCCCTATTTTTCGAAACTTGTCATACCGCCTGATGATTCTTTACTGATGAAACAGACTGTTGCGGAATTTTGAGGTAAGCGAAATTCTACATTTGCTCTATCTTTATGATATTGAGCACTCTTTGCGTTTCGTATACACAAACCTATTCGTATATATGTATATATGTATATATGTATTTCTGATCATTCAGTTGTGCATTTACAACTATTGATTAGGAAACCGAAGTTTGTGAAGAAACATTTGCTTCTTCGTAATTTGCGGGCGGTTAATATTCATAAATTCAAAACGGATGTACTAAATTCTTTTCTTCTTAAGAATTTTACGACTATGGATTTAGTATCATTGGTGAATGAGTATGATTGTCTTCATACTATCTTAGATAACCATGCACCGATTAAATCCCGGGAAATTACATTGCGCCCTAAGGCACCCTGGTATACTAACGAAATCAATGATAAGAAACGAATTCGGAGACAACTTGAGAGAAAATGGCTTAAAACAAGGACGAATGCCGATTGGAATCGCTATAAACAACAATGTTATGCTGTAAATAAACTTATCGACTCCTCAAAATCGGCTTACTATACCGACTTAATTAATAATGGATCATCTGATCAAAAAACCCTTTTTAAGACTGTAAGCAATTTGCTGCATACAAATACGATTATTCGCTATCCATCTTCTCCTGACCCAATGTCACTTGCCAACTCATTTAGTGATTTCTTCACTCAGAAAATTGTTAAAATACGAGGTGATATCGATGATGAACTCTTGAGTAAAAACATAGAAAATCCTATACCTGATGCTGATTCATGTCCTTATGAATTTCACACCTTCAGGGTGTTAAGTTGTGCTCTTATGTATTACGTAATTTATGTTATTAAAGTAGAAACAATTATTAGTTGTAATGTTATTAGTAATTGGTATATTAAGTTACATATAGATAAAGAGCAGGAGACTCATGACTATATTTGGTAAATATCTGACCAATCACCGTAAAGCGTAACTTATGTAAATAGTGTATATTCATTGTAAAAGCGTGAGTTGTATTCTGTCTGTCGTGTAAAATAAAGCTATAAGAAACTTATGTGCTCAAATTGAATATAATAAAGAATGGCAACTGCCACAAACCCAACACGGTAAAACAGATCGCTCCTTCTATGCCTGAATCAAAGAACACTCACTGGACAACAAATCTGAAGTCTTTAACCACATCACATCATGCGAACACTTTTAACATATCAAATCCATTTTAGAACTGTACCCAGACGAAGAAACTAACCCAACTCTAACTTGTATACTTTCAGAGTTTATATTTACTAACTCTAAGATTATAGACAGATCTGATCATTGGTCCTTATTGCTATTTAAGGAAGCACTTGCCATTAGATGCCTTAAACCTGAACTTAACTCATTCCCATCCGGTCGAAAAGTAGCAATTTCGAGTGGTGTTGTTTCAAACGCATATATCTTTCAAACTATACATCGTACGAAAACAGAAATTGCATCGTTCGAAAGAGGAGGACTTCTGCTTTTCAACGATACCAATCAATTTCATCCGAAGCTTGGTTAACGATTTACTCGCATAAATTATGATATAAAAAAATGTTGCAATTATGCATAAATGTATTTACCGGTTCTAGTTTCAAATATGTCAAAAAATGTT